TTCGAGGCCGATGAAGAAGAGGAGGAGGATGAGGCCGAGAGTGAAAGGATTTATCGTCAGCGAGACACGGGCTTTCCGGATGACACCATGGACTTGGGCTCCTAGCCGTCTCTTCCCCATGCGCTCATAATCTGGCCATCTCCATCTCCCGCACTTCCCCCACCCCTTTCCCCTCTCCTCCCCTCCACGTGAACTTGACGTATTTTTGTTGAAATACTTGAGGTAATTTTAATTCTATTAAAGACCTGATCTGGCGACTGCGGTTTAAGTGTTCTGACTGCGTCATGTTAGCCAACTGCCATAAAGTTCTGTGCAATAGCGTTCATGAATTGACGGCTCAGAGAGTTGTTGGCTAACAGTTTTATCTGGTGTACCTGATCTATAGGCCTTCTCTTTGTCACCGAAAGAACCTGTAACTTTCGATATTGCCCTGAACTGCTCCCCTGTTGACACAAGATTCCAGAAAATGTTTGCTTAAACTCTTCATGCACTCTTCTTTGTTTTTGAAAACTTTCCAGGTTTGTGTGGTTCTGCTAGGTCCCTTTTACTAGGCGCGGGCTTACTTTAATACAAGCAGGGGGTAACTACATCATAAAGTCACAAAAAGCTATTTTAAGGAACGGTTTCGTCTATCTCGAAGAATACCTTTAATTTGTACAACCAAGACCCTGTAGTAGAGTGTGTCAAGCGTGGTAGGAGTCAAAATTTGACACTAACAATGCACTATCGATGGACTTGTTGAGGTGGGGCTTTTGGATTAGTTCTTTTAGAGGGCTGTCGAAAAGCGGTGCGGTTTGTGTCTGACCTTTGCAGCCATTTTCAAACCACTGCTATTACTAACTAGGGAGTTTACTCAAGCCAGTCTGTGGTGACGGTGTACGCACCGAAACCTACGAAGCATCGATCGAGCATTTGCGCTGTCTTGAAGTAGACCGTGCCGCTGTGACCTGTCTGTGTTTCGAGCTCTACCTGGTACGCTTAGTGAATTTTTTTCAGAGTAGAAGTGACTAGGTAATCCGTGTACTTTGCCCGTCGTAACACGCGGGATCTGAGTGCCATACTCTTGCTGGTTTGCTTTGCGTCTGCACAGCGACAGAAATAGCACGCACAGAGCGAAGGTGTTAGGGGCAACCCTAGCCGACTCGCTCGCACGTCGCCCCGATGATTTGTCCCACGCCGCACTATCGATCGGGCCATAGGCTAGTGCTCTGCTCAACCACTCGGATGAACTGGAAAACCAGTCGACATTCAGTGGACACTATCGGATTCGTCTGATTGCAGTTCGACTTTGTACATACGCGTATGGCCTTAACTACGTTGTACTACTCGCGTCAGTACGCTTCTACCCTTGTTGTTGAAGTCTCCTTTGGTGATTCGATCGAGGAGCTATTGGACTACGAACCTCGTGGTTTGTGACAAGGTTATAACGGAAGACCTGTCCACCGTTGCCCATTTGCTATCACTTAGGCCTCTATGTGTCAAATCAACATGCTCCCTAGTCGGCCACGACCGTGTGCTTAAAAATGGGTCACTCAACCATCCAATCGTGAGTGGCCTTAAGCGCCGTGATGACGGGCACGAATATTTGTCTGCCCAGTGAAAGTTATTGTTGGCAGTCTTACTTACCTACCGGAGGTGAACGCTGACCCGGGTGTTTTACAAATCAGTCCAGAAGAAGTTTAGGCCGCGCGTAAGCTCACATTCCCATCTGTTATACTTGTGGGAAAAAAAAGTATTCATGTCAGTTAGTGATACAATTATAGGAATATATTACTAGAATATACAATTCACTGGTCTTAATTAATATGATTACTAGAATTAGCATTCTTAGCAGTGGCATAATACCTCTAGCAGCAGTATCCTAGCTCAAACTTAGTAAAATCTGACAGCTTTTGGTGGACAAAGGGGAGAGGGCGGAAACCAAAGCAAGCCCTGATGTGCTCCGGGCCTCAAACATGCATTTACTCGGAATAGCATAAATCCACATAAACCCTCCGTGTTGAGATCGAGGTGATATGAGCCACAGCGTTGACTTTAATCAGCGACGCCTCTGACAAATACTAACGTGAGGAATAGTGCCTTTATTGTTAACACTCAGCTACACTCCTAGTTAGTAGCAGTAGAAACAGCAGTAGCAGTACCGGCCTTGGTTTCCTTGAATCGGTCTTGACACCTACTAAAGGTGAGTGAAGGTAGATAGTGTGGTAATACCCGCGCAAAGTCTACCGTCACTTACCACTGAGTTAGGCGGTGTTCTGGCCCGCATTGGAAAAAGCTGCGTACGCCTGAGCCCGTTCGGTCATCTTGACATTGTCTTGTCACCGGCTCAAACGAGTAAGGGTTTAGAGTAAGGTAAACAGTTGCCCTACCGCCACATACGCTGGGGTTAAGTAAGTTAAATCCTAGCAACTGCGATCTTCAGACCATGTTTTCTTAGTAGAGAAGTCGTGAGAAGGGCAGAGTGTTAGGAATAGTTTATTGTGTACACAGAAGAACGAAAAATAATAGGGAAGAAGATTGACTACATAGATCGCCACCTTCTGCTAGAGCGGCGTGATCCGAAGTGTGGTCTAGTTGCAGGAATCCCCGCGGCCCATAGAGCAAGCGTTCACGCGTGCAGGCTTGCCATTCGTCGCCGGGCCAGAAGGCAACTTTGCGG